GAATAAAGCTTGACCATGGAACCCATTGGCAAAATTTTATCGTCAGAGCTTTCCTAGTTGCCTATTTGAAATACCCGGAAAGACAGCCACACACATACACAAACACACACAATCACGCATATCATGCATACCTGCACACTCATACACTCACACTCAAATGCACATACATATACAAATACACACATAACGGCGAATAAAAACGCTCAATAGTCATATGTTGCTGGATGAACGAATGTTTCGCACTTGACATCTACATGTCCTAGTGTAAAGGTAGCTAGCGTATCCCAATTTTTTCTCGAATAGAAGACAGAATACTCCAAATACTTAGTTTTCTGGAAAATTACCATCAACTAAAATCATTAATAATATACATACATACATAATGTAATTAATATCAAAGTGAAAAGCGCCCTCTGTGATCGCACTCTATCGGTATAAAGGCGTTTGGGAGTATTTCGAAAGTATCAAATGCCAATAGCTGGCAAAGTTGTCGATAGCTTCCTCATTCGAGGTTACTTAAGAGTGGGATGGTGACGACTTTGACTTTCTGGCATAATATTAATACCAACTTACGACCGGAACGAATGAACATATCGTAGAAGGATCTATTTTCCACTGACTAAACCTAATCCTCGAATTTTTCCACTACAGCAGCACTACAACGAATACAAAATGTGCTAATGATGATGTTAAAACGTAAAAAATTCCAAAAAAGTGGGGTCTTAGCATCTTCTTCTTTGAAAAGGCAAAATTTCCGTCTTCCTGAGGTTATGGATGCAATAGGACTGAAATAATTGGCCAACGCACGGGCTGCCCGTGCGAAGAAGTATTTTTTGCACAGTTCGCCGCAATTTTTGTTGCTACCGGCACCGGTTTTTTAGGCAAATGCTTCCAGCTAAACAAATTAAGACTGACTGCCTAAACTGGCAGGAAACACCCCCTTAAAATATCAGCTTTCTAGCTTCCCTAGCACCTGAGTTAGCAACTTACTGGAAAAAATTTTTCACGGGCTCGTACGTACGTACCACGCATACCCGATGTCTGGGTTTGAGCTTGTTAAGACTTACGTGGACGAGGAACATCCTCTTAAAACTACAGTTCTCTAGCTTTTAGGTTCTCGACTTAGCAACTTACCCGAGAAAAACTTTGGTTAGCCTGTACGTGGGTATCACGCCTTTCCGGGGGCTGGGTATGAGCTCATTAATGTCTAATTGGGCGGGGAACATCCTCTTAAGATTTCAGCCTTCTAGCGTCTCAGATCCCCGAGTTATGAACTTATCCGAAAAAAGTTTCATGGGCCCGCAGGCTGGCACTATGCTTACCCGTGGGTTGAGTTTCAGCACATTAATACTTACTTGGACGGAGAACATCACCTCAAGACTTCAACTTTTTGGCTTCTCAGATCCCCGAGTTATCAACTTATTCGAAAAAAATTTTGGCGGGCCCGTACGAGGGTACCACGTTTACCCGGGCTTGGGTTTGAGCTCATTAATGTTTACTTGGACGGGAACGTCATTTTTAAATTTCAGCCTTCCAGCAGTTCTAGTTCCCGAGTTAGCAGCTTACCTGTAAAAAAAATCTGGCGGGCTCTTACGTGGGTACCATGCGGGCACGACCGCCCATTTTGGGAATGGGAGCCCGTACTTACATGTAGATTAAGCACCAAAGTATCAGCCCTGCAGCTTTTGTGGGTCTCGAAATGAAACATCGGTACAGAGGCCCTGCGCACACACAGACACACACAGACATCCTCTAGTCAATGTGCGTTTTCCGCATTGCAGAACTGCAAAAAACACATAATAAAATGGCCGTGAGCCAAGCGAATTTTTTCAGACGTTTTCTCTAACTTTGCTGGAAGCGCTGCACAAAGCCAACAGAAACTGCAAAGACAGAGTGCAGCATGAAGCAGAATTAGTTTAAAAGGTAAGGCCACGGTCAGTTTCATCAGACAAATTGTTGCCGCCGCCTTAAAAGCGGCCAATTTGATTTGATTAATATAATTTGAAAGCGGCAAGTTCTGCATCCCAGTGGCAGGGGACACCGTGGCTTGTCAAACCTCCAATCTTGAACTGTTTTGCTGGAAAAAGGAGCCCTTCCAGTCTTCATTTTACCTATTTTATGTTGCGTTTTCCACACATCCTGCTTCAATCTCTGAAATTAAGTGCATTGAAATCTTTTTCATTCAACACGGGTACCGAAACTCACATTATTTTAGTAGCAGTTTTGTAGAATGAACACTGATGAAGTCCAGCCTAGCTTACTTTGTATTTCTTTACAGAACTTTTTTGAAATTTATTTACTAGTACTCAAAATCATGATTCTTAGCGTTAGGAAAAAAAATACAAGAGCTAAAACAACTGTAAATTCAACAGGAGTGGGAACACAAAAAACAGAATGGAAAGAATGGGGATCTGAAAACGATTATTACGCGTTTTTGCTTAGATGCGAATGCAACCCTCAGGCTGAGACGCATAAGGATTGCTGGTGCGATCATTTACTTTTGCACTAAATTTCAAGCAAACAGGTCGTTAACTGTATGAATAATTGTTGCTTGTATCTAGCTTGTATATTCATTAAAGTAAATCAATGTAAATTTTGCATAAACGAAAAAAAAAATTTTCGTCGGGCAGTCGTTTATTGAAAATCACCGGGCCGTTCAATAGAAAATTTTCCAGCCAAAAACTTTATGTGCTCACATGCCAGAAGCACTCTTATCTGGGGGTTGCAATCTTTCCGCTGCAATTGGATGGGAGTCCCTTAAAATTTCAGCTTTCCAGCATTACATATTCTCGTGTAAGCAATTTTCTCGCTGTATGCGCTCTTGTCCTTTTGTCATTTTGCTGGTGTGGACTGTGAGGAGTTATCATTGTTTCAATACGTGAAATAATCGTAAAAACACTAGCGATGCGCACTAGGTGGGCCCGTGCGTTCGTGCGTATTTGCAATATTTCGTGCTGTAGTAAGATCACTTGAAGTCTCAGTAGTTAGAATTTGTGGCATACTGGTCCTCAAAATTCAGAAGTTAATTGTGCAATTACGTGGTACTTGGTCAGGGGAAACTTCCTCAAAATTTCGGCTTTCAGTCTTTTTAAGTCCCTGAGTCACCTATTTCCCCGTCAAAAACTTTCACTTGGCCGTACATGAGAACTACGTGCCAGTGGGCAGAATTTGAAAACTTAGAGTTCTACGTGGACGGGAAACATAACCTAAAAATATCAGATTTCTAGCTTTTATGGTTACCGTGTTAGCGATTTTCTCGCCAAAACTTTTACGCACCAGCACGCGGAACGCAGACGTGGGTGAGGGCTTTTTGTAATGCACTTCATCCATATTTGTTATTATTATACTTATTTTTTTATGCGTTTTGTGCTGTGTAACAGCAGTACAAAACATATATTGTTACGGGGTTGTGTGTGTGTGTCCGCAGCAATTTGTCCGCAATTTTCAACTCGAAAACCACAGAACCTAGGGAGCTGAAAATTTACGGGAACGTTCTCCATCCACGCGTGATTCCGCAAACTTAAATTCTGCCTTCCCCTACCGGTGGGTAACACGCGCCGTCCCGCAAAAGTCTTGGCGGGTAAAATTATTACCATGGGGACCACGGAAGCTAGGAGATCAAAAGTTTGTGGCATGTTCCCTGCCCACATGCGACTAGAAAATTTAAGCTCGTTCTTCTCCTGCCCGCAAATACCATGAATGGCCTCGTGAAAATTTTGACGGGTAAATTATTATCTCGGGAAACCACGAATTATCTCGGGAGCCAGAAGTGCTAGGAGACTAAAAATTTCAGGAGAATGTTTCCTGCCCAAGCAGGGGCTTCGCAAACTAGAAATCAGTCCCTAATTATGCCAAGGTCTCACGTACGACCACGTGAAAGTTTTGTCTCAAGGATCACTTGAGAACCTGAAAATTAAGAGATTGAAGTTTCGGAAGTATATTCACCTTTCGAGGTTTCAGATTCAGTCTTCACGTGCTGGTGCGTGAAATTTTTAACAATTTTTCAACATTTCAACTATTTTTGCACAGACTAAAGTACAAGTCAGTGAAAATCATTAACGGGCAATCGTTCGGTGGGGGAATTGTACAAAACTAATGATCACACCGGTTATTCTGGTGCGCTCTGCAATTTATTTCATTTGCATACATGCAAAAACACATAATGAGTTTGGTCAATTGTGGGTTTTTGCATATTTATGCAAATGAATAACGCACATGGTGACGACCCATGGCGCGTGATGTGTGTGTGTGTGTGTGTGTGTATGTGTGTTTGTGTATGCATGTGTGTGCATCTGCCCGAGTGTTTCAGCTGTGCAACCAGGCAAGATTTGACGCTAAATTTCTACCACCGAATTCCCCAGTCAAGCATTATCCCGGGAACTTGGCAGTGACCTTCACACGTGTTCAAGCCCCATGTACGGAAAAATGACTTTGGCGAGAATATTAATTCTAGCTCGGGATCCAGAACAACCAGCCATTTTTATTGAACGGCCAGTCAACGAAAATTCCTCCACACAAAATCTACAATAGTGGGAGCACAATTTAAATGAAAGCGACAGTCACTCGTACAGCGAACCATCGGATTGTTTCAAGTTTAGCCCAAAAACACATGATAGCACCGACAAACCTGGTCTGACGCAATCTAAATGATAAGCTCGTCCATTCAGTCTGACTTCGCTGTGCTGCGAACAGTACTTCTGAAAGATACCACAGTTTCTACGAACTATTTTGTCGATCAGGTGAATACCCCACTTCAAATCACCGGTGTTTTATATGCTTCCATCCGACGAATCGAGGATGTTCCATACAATGTTGCTTTAGCTAGGCCTTTTCCACTGCAAGTACAATGAGTGTCCGTGATGTCCAGTGGACTGCACTGCCAATACAGTCTTCGCATTTTTGCTATGTCTTTCACTGCTTTATTATTACTGTTAACGCAATTTTTTTTTGTGCCGAACTCTCAGCACATATTAGTGACACTTCGGAACCAGGTGCTTCTATTAGAAGAAGCGTTGAGCTGATGAGTCTTCAGAGACAAAACGAATGTCAGGACCGCCAACAAGCTGGCCACCGGGCGAAGCAGTATTGGCCAAAGCAACTGAAGGACTAACAACTGCATAACTAAGGTAACTAGGCTATGGATTAGTGCTATTTCAAAAGTTTCAATTGTAAGTCCAGCGAAAAACTAGCGATGACGAATAATAACACGCTAATTCCGGAACTGTTTTCTGAAGTAATGTGTGGACTGTGCAAAAGTTGTTAATAGCGGTATTATGCAAATAAGGTGCGTTGTTCTATTCGGTTCGTCCACACAGATGCAGAACTTGCTTAATGTGACCACTGGATTGCAATGCCTGCAATGATTTTGTGTCCTGCTGTTTATAATGAGTTTTGTAATGGCAACAGCCGCACAAAGCGCATATTGTCACATTTCCTGTGTGTATGTTTATGTGTGTATATATATGTGCATGTATGTCTGTGCTCGAGTGTATTTGGCCCTGCATTTTCAGCTCAACAACCTGTAAAGCTAGGAGGCTGAAATTTTAGAGGAATGTCTTCTATATGTGCGCGACATCGTAACTTCAAATTCAACTTCCACTTACTCGTAATCATACACAGAGATACGTGAAAATTTCGGCAAAAAAATCGCCAACTCGGAAACCAGAAAAGCTAGAAGGCTGAGCTTTCTGGAGGATGTTTTTTGACTTATGCAGAAAGTCAGTAAACTCGAATTTAGCTTTCACATATGCCTAGGTCTCATATACGGCGTCGTGAAAATTTTGAGTGAAAGCCAATAAATTGGAGGCCAAAAAACTAGAAAGCTGAAATTTTGCGAGAATGTTCCCTGCAGCGGTCAGAAAGTTATAAAGTCGGTCTTCACGGACGCTTATTTTTCACGTTTTAGTAGAAAATTATGCAGGTTAGGGACCAAATGATATGCGGAGTATTTCTGCATACACCAAACTGTAAAGCAATGAAAATTCTTGAAAGGTAAATGTCCGTTGGACAGAGCTTCGCAAGACGTATGATCGCATCGGCTGATGCGCGCCGCCATTTGTAGTGCGTTTTTATGCGTTTTTGCCCATGTGCAAATTGCAAAAACGCATATTGCGACGACCCTGTCTGCGTGTGCATGTGTGTGTGTGTGTGTGTGTGTGTGTGTTCGCCTGTCCGGGTATTTCAACTCGGCCACCAAGCAAGTTCCAGGGCCAAAATTTTGCTAGTAGGTTCTCCGGCCAACTGTCGCCCCAGAACCGCGATACCAACCCTCACGCAAGTCTGGGTCTCGCGTACGGGGATGAAAATTTTGGCGGGAAAACTGATAACTCGGTAACGAGAAAAGATAGAAAGCTAAAATTTTTGGGTTATGTTCCCTGTTCACATATAACTCAAAGATTTCATATTCAGCCTTCAGGTATGCGCGGTTTTCGCGTACGGCCCCGTGAAAATTTTTCGGCGAGAAATTGTCAAATTGTTGAACTGCTAAACGGAAATTGTTTATTTCCTCTTATGCAAAAATTATGATTTACGGTATTGAGTGCACAAGGCAGGTGTGAAGAAATAACCGTTCATGCAGCTAATATAATTACTTCAACTTTGATGCAAAAACGCATGATCGCACCCGCTCGCCTGCTGCGCTCCAGCCTGCTTTATAATAATAGTGTGCATGAGTTCATTGCCCATAATGAATTTTTCGGGAATTGAACTGCGTTTCTCTTTCACTGAATAGTTGTTGGTTTCGTTATAATGGTGCGGAAGGACGCAGTTCGCAGGTCACTGACCATTTGGTGGAGAGTTTAGTTACTGCCAGCAGTTCCCAGGCTCGATGCCGTGTTGATGAAGAACTCTCTATGAACTCCCAGCAGTAATGTCTCATTAACTACATTATCTGAATGGTTTAATCCACTTTTCGAGGAGCTTCCGTGATGTCTGGCATAAGGAAGGGCACGAGGAGTATAGGGCTTCCACTCGCCGCCTTCCTAACTCTGGGCAAGTTGGTTTAGGCGGCCAACCAAGGAGGTCAAACTTCTTTATTCAAAAGAATGCGCCATCAAAAACGTAGCATCACGTTATTTCCAATCGTATCGCGTTGTCGCTTTCACTCTCGAGTTGTTTCGTGCCTATGGTGGAAAAATCAAGTTTATAATTACTTCCTCCACGTTAGTTTTTCAACACTTGCTTTTTCTTCTTTTTTTCTTCCCTCTAATTCTTCCCTCTTATCTCTTCTTCCTCAATTGTGATTTTCACTATCACATAGCGGTTAGGGGGCTGTACTGAAGATTCCCACCCCTTAACAGCACCTTGTACTATCTGTGTTTACAGCTTAGGGTGAAACACAGGCACCTTCTTTTTTCACATACTACTCTCACGTGTTCCTTTTACATGACAAATGGTTTACATACACATCTCACTTAACAGTGTCCTTTTTACCCCTTCCAAAGTATTTCGACAGCCAAGTTAGAACTCTCCCTGATTGGTTTTGGGTACCGCAACTTGTCGAGAGCTGTTTTTCATGGTGTAGTGGTGTAATATGTTCAAGGAGCACAACGGGAGGTAGAATGATCGCGGAAAGTTATGGTAGTAGCCAGCTGAATGGGATGTTGCAGGGACTTCAATAAAACACTATGGAATTAAACAACGCATTCATAATTAATAAAATGTAGTACATATGATGTGGGTAAGGTCTCCATGGCCCGTACTGTCTTTTACAATCAGCAAAGTGCAAAAATGAATGGAGAACATGCCGTGCTGCTAGGGTTTTAACATGAGTGTCGCTAGTGACTCTAGTTTCAAATTTTAGCGGAAGACAGCAGCGAAAGTGTTTATTCTAAGAATTTGAAAAATTGCAAGCACACAGCAGAAGAATAGGGCAATAATGATAATACAAATCCCTTATATTTAGATTGCGAAAACCCTTATACATAGACCCTAATCCAAAAAATTTTAGCAAACTGATGCAAATAGGCAAAATGAGAGCTGCGCGATATCGGATTTCAGGTAGCAGATGGTGTACCGTACAAAACAATTTCAACGAATTTTGACGATACTGAGGTATGATATGAAAGATGACGACGAAGATGACACATACTGCAACCAGGTAACTCAGCGCTTCACGTCTTTGGCCATCTCGTGCATCTTGTCGCCTGCAATTACCAGTTATATGGTTTCTTCTGAATCAGAGGAAAATCCTTGCCAAATAAAATGAACTTATTAGTTAACCCAGCTGCGCGCATCTTTCTCATTCCGAATAACCAAAAGTCAAGCCAATCAACATATTTATTACCAAAAGGGTGCTTTTTCCAGTGTTGTCATTTAGCTTTTAGGTGAAATTTAATGTTTCTGCTTCGATTCGTTACTATTTAGCACACTTGGCATATTTCTGTTAAATGCAAAGCATCTTCGATTAAACATGCGCGCGAAATTTTCCCTCACATACTCAATGTTCCCTCCTTTTTTCTCTATTTCGAACATGGTGTTTGCGGCACCGTAGTGAATTATTGTTTCAGTGAGTGAAAATTCAAAAGAATTTTTCATAAGAGCATTCGGATGTTCATTTCCTGAAAAAAAGGACTTTGAAAAAAAAAACCTGAAAAAAAGGACTTTGAAATATCTTCTACTCAGTATTTACCCTCCCAATGGATCATGTAATAATTCCTGGTACTTGCGCGAAAGAAGACAAACACGCGCAGAGGTGGTGAGTAGAAATTAAAGAATGGGTCTCAATACGATGCGAAGAATTGCGCCTATCACGTGAGAGACCTTTAATGCTGTTGGAACCCAGTGCCGAAGTCCAGGGCAAGTGGCCGAAAGTAATTCTGAAGGTTTCTTATTTTGTCCGTTTGAACACTACCTGCTTTTTCGCGCATTTCACAAACTTTATTGGCTGCTTCATCAGCAGCATGCTTCGCTTTATCGCGCATTTGCTCCTGGCACTGCTTTTCTCCCATTACCTTAAAATGAAGTAATGGATGGGCGTAAACGCTGGCTAGCAATTGGCGAATTCAGATGTTTTTCGTAAACACAAATATAAATGGTGCTCAGGGGGAAGTTGTAGGAGGAAAAAATGGAGGGGGGAGGGCAACAAGGAGAAAAGAGAAGTCAAAGTCGGAGGCAAGGGGGAAAGAGGAAGCAAAACTATGATATAAAAGAGGAGGAAGAACTTTGCCAAAATACGATACTAAAATGTCGTAAGTCAGCAGCATTCAGGAATATTGTATGTGACCAAGTAAAAGGGATACAAATTTGTTTAAGGGACTGTGATACCATCAGCAAGCACCAGCTTGAAATTATCCGCTGATTGCTTGTAACAGGAAATGCGGCAGTGAAACAGAAGATGATCACAAATTTTATAACTTTGGGAAGCGTAAATGGCGGATGTGTAGTAGTACCTTAGCATCTTCATGCATTTTGCTTATATGCAAATGCAACAAAGGCTGGAACGCACCAGGCGAGCCGGTGCGATCATGCGTTT